CTGTGCGCTCAGGGGTTGCTATTTGGGGCGCTGGGCGCAGTTTGGAACAGCCGAAGTGTTGGCAAATGCTGGGCATTAAGGGATCACGACCATGAATTTTGGAGATGAGTTCCAACTCGAGAATCACGCGGGTCAGAGTGCAGCACGGACTGGCCTGAGTCGTCCGTCGACTGTTTCAGTTTTCATAAGCGTGTTTGTGTTTTGAAAGAGACTTTCTGCATAACATTTGAGTAGCGGCAATTGGACCGGCTCTAGGGTCCGATGATACAAAACGTAGAAACGAGAAAACAGAGCCGGCACGTACAAAGCAAAACCTTGACAGCTACAATTTTACTCTCCTGAATCCACGGGCAACAGGGGGCTTGGGGCTCACGGGACGATGAATTCGGCCTCCTGCCTGGCCGGTCTCGTGGCCCGCAAGCCCACGCTGTCTCGTCTACTCGTCGGAGAGGTGGATTTTAACAGCTCGAAGACCACCGAGCTGGATGTTCCCGCTGTGGCGGCCTCGGTTTCATCCTGGGGCGCGGACGTCGCCGCTGACCGATCTTCTCATACCGGTAATTAGTCTGTGTGATCGCAGAACTGGCACCATCGACATTCCATGAGTACCTTGCTGTGGCTCCACCAATGATGATCAATTCTCCAACGTATCCGACTCGTTTCCGCCGGATGGGAGAAGCAAAGAGAAATCATGCCAATAACGATGAGCACACGGTTCCGCCTTCCCTCCCTGCTTCAATCTTCGAAGAGCAAACACCAGTCGACTCGTCAATCGAACTTACCCGTAGTCCCCACAACCACGATGCCCTACCATCGTCATGAAGAGATAAATGCAAGATCCCCCCACCCAAGCGCACCAGAGCGGTCTGCACGTAAAGATTCCTGTGTGAATGAGCTCCAGAGGGTAACCCTTTCGTTGGCTGATTTCCCGTCTCCTTGTTATTATTTGCTACTCCCCGAACGGCATCCAGTGGACTTGTCGAATTGCCTCCTTCAGAACTGGCCACCAGTGGGGCCGACAGCACCCGGGGCGCTTACCCTCAAGTCGTGCGGCGTGTCGTGGCCATGGTACCAAGGCAAGTGTATACGGTTGCTGTGCGAGACCTCAACCTGCGCAGGGCTAACGAAAATTCTGATCAACAGTCAGTTTTTCGCCAGAGCCCTAGCGGTGTTCGACGACGCTTCCAGGAAGCGTGTGATTCGTGTTTCTTGATACGGTTTCCTTCTGCACCGAATCTTCCCGGTGCTTCGTATGCCCTTCAACTGCACCATGCCTCCGACTACGCCACGCGCCATGCAACATGCACTCCATGTCATACGCGTTCGGAGTCCTGTCGAAGACGCACCTGGCAAGCACCATGCTCGTCAACCTTGTCCTTGCTGCCTGCGATTCGTAGCACTCCCGTTCACGGTATCCACCCTTCGCCTCTTTCGTTATTGCCGTCAAATATCTGCAGGATTGCTTCTCTTTTGCACCGCGCCACACTCAACCCTCCGCCGCTTGGATATAAGCTTCAGGCAAGTGGCACAGACCAACATGCTCCAAAGCTGTTCTTGTGGCGCCCAACGAACGACCCGCCTCGAGCTTTAGATAAAGATGGGGGCGCTGCCATCTTGGGAGAAATCTGCTCACTGGGCATGTCACTCCGCTTTGGCACGTCTCGTTCTCGTTTTCACCCAAACCACGTGGTCGACCCAGCTCACCATATGGAGTTTGGCTCTGGCGATCACCTGCTCCCTTTGCCACCCCCAATGACAACAACAGTGCGCATGTCCATTCCGTTTATGCTGGCCTCCTCCAAATACGTTCAGTTTCTTCGTGTTGGAGCCTGCGATGAAGCAGTCACTCGCGGTCGCGCTGGGACATCTCGTCGCTACGTCCCCGCTGGAAGCACTCGTGATGCCGGGGGACTTTCGCAGCAACGGCGTAAACTGCCTTCCAGGCGACATGATGGCTGCCTTTTTCCCGGTGAAGCAGACATACATGTTGACAGTACAAGCGCACTACTCTATTTTCTGTTTGCCTCTACTGTTGTCTTGTTTGAGAATATTTGTTGCCCGGAATAAGAGGGAGTTATGCTCGCCCAGCTCAACAGAGTGTTCTCCGACGGCGTTGAAGCGAGACGCTAGGCTCCCCTCCCACGCTTCTTTTTTGTTTCATCCCATCATCCACAAAGGCTCTGTATATCGGGGCTTGGGCGTGACTTGTCGGTGTTGTTCTGTCTCAAAGATAGCGTCATCTTGATCCTGCAATTCGCAAACCTCGATTCAGAGCATCTTCTGCTTGATTCCTGTACGTCACTTAACTGTGGAAGATTTGCCCCCTCTGCTGCTGTCCTTACGGAATACAACCAGGCGCTGGGATTGAGCAAAACACTCCTCGAGCTCGACGTGACGGGACACCAATTCGGAGACGTTGGTTGCGTGCCCCTGGGAAACGCCCTCCGCCAGAACCGCTCCATCACCACTCTGAGCTACGATCATAACTGGGTGACGCTGGAGGGCTTCAAGGCGATCAGAGGGTGCCTGTACGGGAACAAGAAGCTTGTCAAGGTTTCGGCTCCGGCCGCTGACCTCGCGGTAAGCGGGCGCCTCGTTTGCTTCACTAGTCCTTGCACGTCGCGCACGCGACAATAAAGGGTTTGGACGCGAAGCCCGGTCTCACAGGATCCGATCAGGATCATTCTACTGGTGAAAAAATGCTTCCCATACTCCAGAAGTCTTGCCCTGCCTCAGGAAACTATGTCGTTGTTGCTGGGAACGGCTGATGTGGTATGTTAAGTCTCACGACGACGGGTCGAGTCGTCGCCATCAACTTGTGGGTATTAATCGAGATTGTGCACGAATGCCGAAGCGCGCTCTTGTCTTGAACTCCCGTTGAGACGCCATCAATTGTTCTGGCATACACAAGAACCGAACAAGTTGTGCAACACAATCGCCTATTCTGGGGCTTAGGTAGCCAACGACGAACCCTCACGGAATTCCGGACCAAACAAACCGTTCCTCCTTCGCAGATGCGCACGTCATACCTTCAAAATGAAGTTCTCGAGGGCCAGAGGCGCATGTGGGAAATCAAGGCCAGGATCAAGGCTGCGTACAAGTACAACAAGCCGGAGTTCCACCGAGTGAGTGGCGGAATAGACCGTGCAGGCGATATTGCAGGAAACGAAATTGTGTATGCCATATCAACTCAGCAGCAGCGCCCGCAAAGGCAATGCCCAAATCCATGTTTCCTTGTTCCATACGCTCCCTGTGCACGCAGCAAATCGCGCTCATTAGCGCTAACAACAAGGCGTGGAAAGCACTCGAGCGCGAGAAAAACAAGACAATCGAGGTCGCAGGAGTCATAGCCGACTGCATCGAAAGCAACCGTCAGCTCAAAGATGCCAAGGACGCCGGGAAATGGGTGAGCCATCTCGTCTGGCTACCCAAGTCACAAAACAGAATAGATCTCGGTGAAGACAGAATTCTTCGTTCTCGAGAGGCGACGCTTTGGACTGGCAGCGACGCCAATATCGACCACACACACAGGTCATCCCTTGTTGCTACGCACATTCTTCCAAGTAAACGCATAGACAACGGTCAGGTGAATCCTACCGTGTGACAAGCGACAAGGAGACACAGTTCTATATGGTAGCACCAAGGTCACTATCTCTTAGAAAAATATTCTTTACATGTACGTTTTTTTACGTAGAACAAGACCGTATCTGCTGTGCTGCGATCAACATGAGTACGTGTGGCTGTGTACCACGAGAACAATCCACCACTTGGTTGAGAAGGTTCATGTACTGCTGACGGCGATACTTGCACTGCGCGTTGAATCAGTACCAACGAGTGGAAACCCTAGCCACAAAATGTACTTCAACGAACGGCATGTGTTTGAAAGGCGGCGAAAAAGGAACGACAGCAGGGTGCGTTCGAGGAACGCTACGCCACCAAGATGGGCAAGATTTTGACCAAGTTGTCGAAGGAGACGGATAAGGCCAGGCTTCAAGCAGCTTCTGCCAAGACATCCCTTTTCAAGGTGCCTGTTGCAGCTTTTGCCATGCCGGCTCCACCCCTCCTGGAGGATGTTTGCAATCGATGGCGATCCCGGCTGTTGATGATTAGCATGTCGGGAAACGGTGTGGAAAAATGACGGGGAAATCTCGACAAGCCACCCTGGAGGCCTTGTTGACTTGGCCACCTCTCTCCTGCCACACCAATATGAACGAAAGCTAGCCGGACGACACAACGTTGTGCAGGCATTCATTCAAGAATTGCAACAATGCTTGGGGGAATGTACAAGTATTGCTCACGACCTTAGCAGAGAATGCGAGAGGTGGAAACCCTGCCTAAATCCAAGCTGACGCTAAAGACACGAACGACACGTACGTGAACGTCCATTCGAAACCCCCCTTGGAAATGAACGTTGGCCGCGACAACGTTCACACCCTCGGAATCGATTGATGCATCACAGGCGAAGCCAAGGACGTATTTCTACTCCAGCAACGCGCAGAAGCAGCAAGAATGGAGGCAGAGAAACAACCACCACCACCACCATCACCACCACCACGGCTACGGTGGAGGGATGTACTTCGTCGCGCTGCCATCGGGGCATCACTCGCCGTACCATGTGAGCAAACACGAAAGGCGACAAAACCTCTTTTTCAGACTGTGGATCGAGGAGCGCATTTGAGTCGCCGGGGTTGGTTCGCGCATTGCTTCCCGTCCGTCCACCAAGGATTCATAAGCTCGGTTTTGTTTGCTCAAGCACAAAGAAAAGGCACAACAACCTCTTCCAGAACTCGGAATTCGGTCCACGCTCATTCCGGAACAAATAGCTTGCCACTCCACTGTACAACGGTGAAATGATGCATATTTGTGGGATTAGAATAGAGGTACCCCGTAAGCTTGGGTGGAACAAGGCCCTTGGAACCAGTGTATTTCTGAAACGCACTTGAACAAAAACACAACCTACCTTTTTATACCTCGTGCCGTGGACTTCACGTTCAACATGCATGAACAGCACGATGATGGCTGTAGGGACAACCTCGGAGGAGGAGGAGGAGGAGGTGGAGACACGGCGGATCACCGCGACCTGCCCGCTAACGGGGAGGGATCAGGTGCGTAAATAGTGCATCTGAGGGAACGGAGACGTAGCGATGGGAGGTAGGCCGGGAATTTCGTGCGGCCGTAGCCGTCGTCCATGTTTATTGGCGCTTTATCGCTTGCAACGCCTCGTGGTAACACTACTTCAGGTGAACACCCTCTTTATGCGTTCTTGGTGTTTGCTCTGAGTTAGGGCGCATGGAAATAACTCCAAATTCCGGCACAACCACAGCAGCAGTACCCATACCAAGGGTTTCAGACTCAACTCGACCGATAGGGGCAGAGTGCCGCGTACTACGCTAGCATCGGTGCTAACTCGTTTAGTCCACGCACCACGTGCTTTCTTTGGCGCGTACAGCTTCTATCTCCCCTGAAGAGGAGCTGGTGGACCTGCAGGACGACTACGTTGCTAGCCCGGGCGGTGACGACGGTAAGACTGCGTAGGCCTCTGAACACTTGCTGAATCCATGGTGAATCCCCACGTCGGTCGGTTGTTCTTTGAAACTTTTCCGTACTACAATGATCCGGCGTATTTGCAAGATGGAACCGAATTGGCCAAGGTGCATATGCACACAGCAGGTGCTAGGGTCGGCCAAAGACGGCCTGATTCGGGTGATAACTTGTGAACAAGCCCTATTATATATAGGTTCTGACAGCTTCAATGGCCAAAGCCTGTTGCCTCACTGAGGCGAATCGCTAGCCCGTGCCGTGTCGTGCAGTCAGGGCACGTACCGTCCCGTACGATGCAGAGCATAAACACCGGTGGGGGTCGCACTTTCGGAGTCAAACGACCCCCGCAGAGTATGATGCCAATCGAGGAGTGTACTCGATATTTTCCGATCAAATAATACCTACCATGTGCGATCTTTGGGGTGGCTAGAAACGAAAACGAGACAAACAACCGCCGGGGATACGTTGCCCTCGAGTTGAATATCTCGCGTTGTGTCTCGCCGACGATACCCAACCTATGCACACCCAACTGTGTGTGGCACCTTGCTCCTATCACATTCTACCTGCAGGAGAGTCATCCAGCCCCCTGGATCGAGTCCGCGATCTCATTACGAACGAGGGGCCGAGCGTGTTCGACCCCTCGAACCTGGGTCGCATCGACGACCTCTTCAGGGAGGCGGGCTCTGACGTGTACGAGCGGATGGGACCCATCCTCGGCGAGGTTCGCAAGAGAGCACTCGGCTGCACGAATTTTTTTCCCGCGCATTTTGTTTTCTTTTCTTCTGCCGCGCGGGTGCTCTAACTTGCTAACCCACAACCTTTCCTCCAACCCTTGCATACCCGCCCCACACGATTTTGGTCTTTCGAATTTCTTCTCCGATGCACCAATTCTGTTTTCTCTTATACTGCCGGAAACATGTCCTGACTATTGGCTGCACATAGTCTCCGAGTCATGACAACCATGCTTCAGACAGTGTGCTTACCCCAAGCTAATACAAAACGTGTACGAACGCAGGCTGGCGACTTCGGCTCAAAAGTGGCAGACACGGCTGCGTCGTGGGGAACTGATCTAGGTGAAAACGTCGTTTTTAATCATGTCTCGTGACCCAAAAAACAGCTGTAAGTATTGATGTTTGTCGGTGAGTGTCTTGCGTCGATCTCTGTTGCGGTCCATTCGATATTTGTCGCAAGTGTGAGTGGCGGGTCACGCACAATTTCGAAAGGTACGTTGCCTATCTCCCCCAGGATGGTAGATGGAAAATTCAGAAAATTAACCGTCAACAGACGGGTAACAAGAAAGAGGGGATTTTTTGCATGAATCTCCTCCTCGACACGCACCGTATTTTCCTTAAATGTCACCCGTTCACTTCTCCAACCTCCAAATCCCCGTTTCTACAATGAGCATTTTATCGCTATACGACACCAAACTGATTTTCGTCCTCTCTTTCTTGTCGGGCAGGTAGTGTTTTCGGAAGCATCGGCGAATCCGCTGGAGAAGCTTTCGGCGGATTAGGAGACCTCTTCTCCGACGTCGGGGGTGCTTTGGGCAGTGGCCTAGGTGAGGTAGGGGACTGGGCGGGGGACGCGCTGGGGGACGGCGTAGACGCAGCGAGAGGCCTGGCCGAAGTCATCGGAGAGGGCATCGGAGATGGTCTCGACGTAGCGGGAGATCTCGCCGGAGACGGGCTAGACGCGGCGGGCGACCTAGCCGAAGACATCGGGGAGGGCATCGGAGCGGGCCTGGACGCAGCCGGAGATCTCGCTGCAGACGGGCTAGACGCGGCGGGCGACCTAGCCGAAGACATCGGGGAGGGCATGGGGGATGGCCTGGAAGCAGCCGGAGACCTTGCCGGTGGCGCCGTGGATGCGGTCACGGATGCCGTCGATGGTGTATCAGACGACGTGGACATGTACGCGGGCGCAGGGCCGAGGGATCTGGACGATGAAGGGCCGACCGGGGGCGGAAACTTTGCTATGGTGGGTACGTGTCCGCGCTCAAACACGAGTGTTTCTTTCTTTGGCATCCACCACGGCTACCCAACAGATCCCATAAAAGATTCAGTCTCAACGGAACATGTAAGTGCGTTACTAGCATCAAAGCAGCTCTGACATTTGCTTGTTAGGGGGGGGATTAGGGCGTGCTTAGTTCCCCAACATCGAACATTGAGGGCTCTATTGTGTCATACTGGAAAGGTTCCGTCTCGAACCTTGATTCAGACCTTTCAGGCGGTAGCAGGAGCAGCAGGGCCGGGAATGGGTGTGGCGTCGTAGTCTGCTGCATGCCCTAGTCGCCTAGTCGGTTGATAATTCACATCGTACCCTTTCAGGACGCAGTACGCGATTGCGATGAAGATGCCTTACAAAAATTACAAGGTGCCATGTTCCGAAGTCCTCAATTCCCAAGTGGGTCATGGCATACCTGTTTTCACGGTATCGAAACCTTTGGCTTTGGAACAATGCTCCAGGTCTTGGCCGGCCCTCGTCGTCTGGTGAGGCCATTCTCCGTACAACGAGGCATCGATAGCGAGAGCCCACAATTGATGGGGGTCGGGGAATGGACGGCATCTCGGCTCAAAGCTCGCGAAGACAGCAGGCGAGTGCATGAAGGGACAGCACACAGGGGCTTTCTCTATGAAGTTTAATACAGTGGTGTGACTCGGGCCTGCTGCTGAAGCCCCCTTGGCTGTGTATTTCCGGAACGCGTGGTTGAACTTGCCCCGTTGCGTTCTCGACGAACGAACGTGGAGGGCGTGCCGAGGTGTAGATATCAAGTGTCCAAGGGCGATCTTTCGAGCGGTACAGTGGGAAGAGGTAGCCATCCGCGACAGGCTTGGGGCAATGGGGATCACTTATGAATACCACACATAAGTTGCATGTGCTAAGAGCTTTGTTCTTGTTTGCTAGGCAGCAGGAATCTAAAGGGGGCCCGGCATCTGATCAGGTGGCGGAGAGTCGATTCATTTCCTTGCAATCTACGCCGAGTACTGTACTGTGCGAGATTCACGAGATCGGCTCCTAATCAAAGGCCACTTCCACAGGATCCCCACCTTGTTCGCATTTCGACACGGGCATCCTTCCCGCTTGAATAGAAGGTGGTAGGTTTCGGCGAACGTGTTCGAAAGCCACGCGGCCGTTGGTTCAGCCAAGCCGACAATTTCACAACGCACGAATTTTCCTCGCTCTGCTGAAGGAAGGAACAAACAGCAAGCAACCAGCCAGGTGGGTACACAAAGGATAGACCGTTGGCGAGGCTGTGTAACAAGGTTTGACCCTGGACCGTCATCCGTCCAACCCTTGCGTTCTTCGGCAAACCGATACCAGGTGGGACGAGCGAATGTTTGCCAGGGCGAAGGAGCTTGATCGGCCCGGTGCCTTCCCGTACAAGATGCTTCTACACGCATTTCATGCTGGCCGGGTGAGTTTTAAAGGCATGTGGCGAAACAGGTGGATGGGGTTGTGGGCTCGTGCCTCAGAAACTTGAAACGATCAGCTGGGGGCAACGTTTCCTCAGGAAAACTCACTGGTGCCTCACAAGACGTGTGCGTGGCGTTCGGTAAATCACATGGCTGCGAGGTTTGGCAAGGCGCGCATGTCCAACCAGACCAGGGCCCACAAAACTCAAGCCACACGTTGATTCGATATTTTCACGTTGTAGTTGTTGTTGTTGTTGTTGTTGTTGTTGTTGTTGTTGTTGTTGTTGTTGTTGTTGTTGTTGTTTCTCACATTAGCTCTATAGTCTACAAAAAATGGGGAGCCCGTGGTCTCAAAACCCGGCACATACGATGCCGCGGAAAAAAAACAATAAAAATAGGGTACAAACCACTCGGAAAAAGAAAACAATATGATAGAAAGAACAGGTATCGCACCGACCGTTCCAGAAAAGAGCCCTCGGAAACCGATAAAGAAAAAACAAAAACAGAAATAAAGGAGGACGCTTCCCACACCCGCCCAAAGAAGAAATCAAAGGGTAACGTACCAGCACCAGGCACTACGCACCAGGGCATGGGAGTAACGGAGCAAACAGGACAAAGAGGCGGCAGATGGGCAGACAGCCAGACGTACAAAAACAAAGGCAACAGCGTGTACTGGGCGGACATGACGCGTTCTAATGGTGAAAATACGTTTGCGCTTCAGCTTTTGAGGTCGTTGTGGCCCCTCACATTGCACACGTACCTGCGGTTAAACATCTGCAGCTCAACAACTACTCCATAGTTTTGGGTTTTGTGAGGTTAGTCGTGCCGCAATGACATCCAGAAACCTACGTACGACGGTGCTTCCAAAATATAGAGGCGCAGATCGCTATCTAACTGTAGCGGCGTGTAAAGCATATCACAACCATTGCAGTATTCATAAGCCTTCGGTTTGAGGATTACGGCATCGGCCGGCTGACAAACGGTCGCACACAGACGAAAGATATTACTGGGGATTTGAGCACAACGCATCATCCCGGAAAAAGAGCGAGGGACCTCATGCGCGTTTCGTAAGAGGTATGATCTCAACGACAATGATTGGGTTCCCGAGTTGTCAGTTTGTACTTTGGTGGCGGCCGTGTTTGACCACAGACCCGACCTGGCCGGCCTGCAAGCCCGAACCTTGCCCCTGCCCTTCGTTTCTTCGCCTCTGCGCCAACTCACCCCCATTGTCGCATTCCTCGTGGCGAACATGATGGGCGTTAAAAGGCGGTTCCTGCCCCGGAGAGCCGAGTGACTCTGGTTACCCAGTGTTCCGTGGACCGTCTTCCTGCGGTACTGGAGCAGGCTCTGAGGTGGGGCGGCGACATCAGCCTCGCTGTTCATGTCCCTTCAGCCCCCGCATCGGCCAAGGATGAGGTGCGGCGTAACCTTCCCTAAGCCGTTCACGATCGGCTAAATTGCTGTATTCATTTCTGCCAATAACTGCGTCCCGGAAAGTGTCGATGACTGATGTGTGAAGCCACCGTTGTTGTGGTCGAGTGCACACGACGCCACGTGTTGGGAAGTGACTTTTGACTGGCGTGAAGTAAACGGAATGATATGAGCGAAAACACGAGGCCGAGAAAGAGTACAGTCCGAGATACCAATGCCCGCATGCGGCCTTCGGGTAAAGCTGATGCATTCCTGAATCATGTCGCCGCCACGGCGTGCAACACCGTTCCTTCTGACTGTGCAGACCATGAGCGAAACCCGACGACTGTGCCAGCGGGTCGACCAAGAAGTTCGAGCAGCGCCCAGTCGTCTGAAGCAGCTCTCTGTGGACGTGGCTATCCTCGAGGGAGCGGAGGCGGACCCTGCTAGGCACGACCACTGCGGTCCGCTGTACCCCGTCAACACCCTGAGAAACTTGGCTCTACTACAGGTACCACCACCCAACTGCAACGCAATTGAACAAAAGCTGAACGTACAAATTGTCTTAACCCAGCTATCACTAAGCAAAGCTTGATCGATGGTAGTATTGTTGGGCCCGGAGTATCTTAGGCAAACCCAAAATATTTTGTTCCTTCGCCCAGCCACCAGTTATCGCACCTGACGGCTCATTGTAACAACGCGACGCTCGACAGGCCCGGGACGACAGCCTTCATCCCGCTCAAGCGGTATTCCTGGTTGACTGCGACTGCCTGCCGTCAGAGCACCTGCTCGAGGAGCTCCAGTCGCACGAGGTCCAGGACAGACTCAACGCCGAGAGTAATGCGAGGCCAGCGGCCGTCGTCATCCCTTGTCTGGAGTTCGCGCCGGGCTCAGTATCTGCCAGGGTAAGCCTTGCAGGAATCCGACAAAGCTGAGACCATCTGTAAGCGATTGTCTCAATGGTGCTGTTATGTTACTTTGGTCCAGTCGCAGTAGCCAGGACAGGAACACTCGTCTAACTCCGGGTCCTGACTTGGTTATCCTGCAAGTAGTGTGGTTCCTCAACACAAGGCCACGTTTTTTTTGGTGATTATATCCCGTGACGTCACCCCGAACTTCGAACTACATCGATTTTCAGGCTGAGTTTAATGATGCGTTCCTTTGTTGATGAGTATGACTTGATATGGAGGCACATCTTGAGTCCATCAGAGCTCAATGCGAGCGCATCGTTACTTGTGGTGTATCTTGGGGTGAGTCCTCGAAAAAATAGTTGTAGTCGAGCCTGTTCGTGAGGTGGATTACGCCTATCCTTACGATGGCTACTGCAGTAATACTCATGTGTGGTTTTGAGCTATGAAAAGTGCGCAAGTACGTGGCCGTTCGTCGTTCTTGGATCTTCGGGGTATCTCCGGTCATGTCTTTGGCAAGTTGTCACTTGATCAGCTGACGTGTTCCGAGTTCCGAATGCGTCTTTACTGCGGTGAAGTTCTTGCGCCTGTTGCTCGAGTACCTCGGTGTTTGTGATGCAGCCTGGTGCCCACTATCTTCCGTCGCTTGGTTCTACGAGCACAACCAATACAACTACTTCACCATCTCTTCACTTTTTGTCAACCGGGACAGCCGTGCTCATCCAGCACCACGAGGCTTGGGGCCAATCAACAGAGCCATGGGGCCCTTCTGGTCATGTGTGTGTTTTTATCCTATCTATTATGGCGACAGTTCCCCCAGGTGAAACGTGTAGTGTATTCTTTCGTACAACTACAACCATCCAGGGTTACACAGGAGGGGGTAAATGCCAGGGCTTTTTTATTATTTTTATACATATTCGTGCCCCACCTTCCTCCTGCGGTGCGTGCCGAGTTTTATTGTTATCGCGAGCAGGGTCCAGCCGTCCCGGCCGTCCCTTTCCCTCGTCAACGGTGCTAACGTCGAAGTTCGGTACTAACGACAGCTTCTCAGCTATATTTTGCTTTCACCCTCAAATTTTGCAAAGTTTTCGCTTTATTGGGATTTGAACTCACGACCTTCGCGACTACCTGTTGTAGAGGAGACCACTAGACCACCAGGGCGACCGACTCAGTACATGCGGACGCAAATACGTATGGAGGCGCTAGTGCTCTTTCTTCTGTCCTGGATATTCTGAACTTCGTGCAATGCCCTGTTTCGCCCGTCCTCAGCATGACAAGAGCATCCCATCGAGCATACAGAAGGTGGTCGAAATGCTGGCGGAAGGGACCGCTCAAGGGTTTCACGTGGACTATTTCTTCAAGGGCCACGGCCCGACGGACTTTCCACGGTGGGCTGCCGCCGCCGCTGAAGAGAGCAAATGCGAAAACGGTGCGTATTCTACCACTCCTTTGTAATGGCGGTTGTGTCGTATGGAGGTTTTTGGTTACCGTAGAGAAGCCAACAACGAAGAAATCGTCTAGGCTGCCCCGAAGAAGAACCAGAGAGTGTGAGTTCTTGTTGTACCTCTGTATGACTGTTGGATCTTTCGCTAGCCCTGACGGTGAGTGTGAAGCTTCAGGGGCATCGCGCACATCCTTGAATGTCCTTGTATCGTGCGAATGCGCAAATCGCGACAGCCCTGGCTACCCTTGCTAGCTTTTGCGATTTCCACTTGCTGGAATGTGATTCGTCTATGCTCTCACTGGCATTGCCGAACGAAGGCGCGAAAATTTTGATGGCCGTACCTCCCTTCCCCGTCTTGCCCTCCTCCTCCTCCTCCGGTTGTGCACCTATTCGAAGCACTGGCGTATACGGTGCCTTTCGAGTCGTGCTTCGAGCCATACGTGGTTGTCAACAAGACCGCCGTTCCAATGTACGACGAGCGCTTCCGCGGCTACGGCATGAACAAGGCAAGAGCGATGGCTTCAAACCTGAAGCGTCCTCATGTGGATATACGTTGTATTGAGACAAATTCCCGGATTTTAGCTCTGCAGCAGACTATATGCGTCAGTTGCAAATCGGTATCGCCAAATCTCACCTTCCCCACCGGTCAATTGTATCTATTTGGTCAGTCGAACCCATTTCTTCAAAAGGTCTCCTTCTCCAAAAGATTTTAACTCTTCCTTCCTCCCCTTTCCACCTCGGTAGGTTGCCCACCTCCTTTGCATGGCCTCTGGTATCCCCAGCAAGCACACGACACCAGCGGTAAGATCGGCCGAGTTCGTCGTCCTGCGGAAGGGGTTTGTTTTCGCCCGGCCCCATGAACGTTCCCCTGGCTGGGAGGCGACGTACGGAAGCCAAGGAGACCCCTTCCGGCGCTACCAGGTGCTGTCCGATGTGACTCCGGGCCTCCATTGATATGGGGCCCGTACACGTGATCCAGACTGGTGATGATTTCGCGTGTCGGCCATGTTTCGTACATGTAGACGCTCATATTCGATTCCCTCCGATTTTTCTTCTGCTGCACAACGTTATCCTACCGGTGGTGCCTCGAAACGAGTTGCGCGCGCACACCAAACCCGTCCCACTTCTTTTCCTTGTTATATGTGGGAGGTTTGACTTGCCAATCATGACTGAGCGCGCACATCCCTAACTTCTACCCTATTCGACGACCCCTTCAAGATTGACCTACGCCGTCACCGCCTCTGCTGCGTACATCAGATCAAGGATCTATGGTTCAAGTTCCAGGGAGAAATCGCGACAGGCTTGCCACCGGTTGTCTGCTCCTCCACCGCGGAGATCGCGGCATCACTCCAATACCACTGGGGTCACAACTATCTGCGACAGCTTCCGCCTTCCTTCCGAGTCTGCCGGTCGCTCGCGGCGAACGGACCAGCTCAAGCGCCGACGCCCAGCGGAGGCTCCCCTACTCAAGACACGCAGCGGGCAGCAACCACGAAGCATCCGCCTCAGGAAGGGTCCGCCAATCGATCGCAGGGAGCGGGCGCATGTGCTCCTGGTGTTTCTTCGCGGGCGGGAGAGGAAAAGCACCAGCTGGACAACAGAACGAATGTAACCATCACAGCGAGTGTTATCTGCCCCTATCGCTCGGAAGGCGTCGTCCACAAAGAACTGGTGCGTGTGGGCACGATGGCACCCGTGGCAAATGTTACCAACCACATCGCCTGAGTTGAAGTTCTCTTCGGTCGAGGGGGGGTTATAATGTCGGGAGGTGGAGGCTGCTAGATTGATTCCGAGGCAAATCACGGCAGATGGAGTGGCCATGACAGTGCTCTATGGGGTGTCCCTGATGGCTTTCAATGGCTCACGGGAGTGTAGACTAGGTGTTGAGTGATGGCCGTGGGCAGGGGTGAGAAAGAAGCCAGTTGTTGTCTACCGGTCGGGTTGTAGACTGCAAGCCCCAATCCGTATCGAATGCTAGGGCCTCTTCAACTATCCCGATTGTGCGGGGTATCTTGATCACCAATGCCATGCAAACATATTGCTAGTATCCGAGTTGGAGCGATGCCGTATTTCGCGTTGGAGAGTATTTATGTCCTACACAATCGGTTTGGATTTCTTCTTGGGCGGTGTTGCAAACTTGAATGTTGGAATAGTGCTTCCTTTGCATCTTATTTGCGGTGATCTTGCGACATCGTAGAAATGTTTCTCAGTCTTGGAGAAATGTACGGACCAACCGGAGTAGCTTTTGGATGGTGTCAGAGCGATGAAGAAGAGTTTTTGCGAAGACAGCAAAGCAAAACATCGTTGGGAGGCAACGTGTTCTTATATAGTGACATCGTCCCTATGGACGGCTGGCAGACCTACGGTATCTGTGGATGTACACGGCATTCTACATAGGTCAAGGAAAATGGCCTGGTTGAGTCCGTTGAGGGCTTAAATTCTCTGCTGTGACAGACCACCCGACAAATGATCCGTGACGAATGTCCCACAGGCAGCTGTGGCTTCTTTCCCCGGAAATTCGGAGTCGTAACGTGTTGTGAGAGCTCCGGCTTCTTTGTGTCCGAGTTTTGGGTCGGCCCCGGCAGCCAAGATACAAATTGAAAGACTGTAGACTGCATAGTGTAGACATCGTAATTTCGGTCGACACTAACAAAGATGCGGTTCATATTGTTAACAACGTAGACAACATCTGTCCGTAAAATGCCGCGCTTTCAAATCATACCATATGGCCATAAGCAGTGCCGCCACGTTCCACGTTCAGGCTAAAATGAGTCAAAACTTCCAAAAAATTTAACAAAGGTGTTTGGGTGCTGAAAGTACCGAATCCTAGACGAAAAACCTACTGGAACAGTCGATCACAATGCACTCTTAATAGTCGCTGTTGGCTCAGACTACCCCGAGAGAAAATAAGCAACGGTCTCACTGGCTAAAAAGTAAGAGGTGGTGTGTCAAATGTGTGGGTTGTGTGGACGTCGCGTCGGTTTTTTAGACAGAGATTCCACCATGCGGAAGAGAAAGACACACACAAACTCTGGTGTGCCACGTTTGTTCCATCTGCTGAGGACGATTGCACCGTCTATCACCAACTCTGCCGCAAAATTACATGACAACATGATGATGTGGGCAATGTGTAAAATCGTCCTTGGCAAGATGGCCGACAGCATGAGAATACCAACGGTCAAAGAGGTACGCGCAGACCCGACGAAGAGCGAGGAGGTAGATTTCTTCAAAGGGACAGCTCGGGCGCAGGTGCACCTACCCATGCGAGAAGGAGGACTAGGAATCACGAGCAATGTTCTCATTCGAGAATCGGCTTTTGTGGTAGGGCAAGCGCTGGTGTTCTCCAAGTCAGTGCAAGCATCGACCAGATACACAGTTGAGCAATGTCTACCCCGGCTTGCCCAGCTACCGACAGGACTGGCTCTGATTGACTCGCTGAAGAAGCTAGAGGAGATCATCACCAAAGACAAGCTTGAAAACGCTGTTGGGCAGTCATGGGCTAATCTTGCCACACGTGATGAGTTACCCCCCGCCCTCAAAGGAGTTTACTTGTTGGAAGCAGGGAAGGCGGGAAAACCCCGTG